TCCTTCTTTAGGCTTCCAGATCATTATAGTGTCTTTCAGGCGGAAGTGCTCGCCATCAGGGAAGCTATAGCTTGTTTGAATTTAGATGATATATTTGGCAGGAATATATACATACTATCAGACAGTCAAGCTGCATTAAAGTACTTGAGTTCGGTCCAATTTACATCTAGGACGGTTCTTGACTGCTACACATCTCTAAACGAAATGTCGACGCAGCTCAATATTTCTCTAATCTGGGTTCCCGGTCATAGGGATATTTTCGGAAATTGCAAAGCAGACGAGTTAGCCAGAAAGGGTGCTTCAGAACCATACTCGGAGCACCTAGATTATCTGGGCATATCGCTAACATCATGTAAATTGATATTGAGTTCTTTCTGCGCTAATACTTTTAATAAAAGATGGGAAGACTCAACGATATGTAGACATCTGTATGCAATCTGGCCACTTTCCGATAAAAGAAAATCGAAAACTCTCATTGAGATGTCCCGCAAGGACATTGGTCTTCTGGTAGGGTTGATTACAGGGCACTGTAAGCTAGGGAACCATGCTAGAAGACTAGGTCTTCCTTTCAACCAAATCTGTCGTAGCTGTTGGGAGGACGATGAGAGCGCATCTCATCTGTTGTGTTTTTGTCCAGCTCTTGCACGTTGGCGATTTAGTACTCTAGGGGCCCCCTTCCTTGAGGACCTGGACCAGTTACAGGATCGGGCTTTAAATAGCATTTTATGCTTCGCAAAAGGTTCTAGGTGGTTTTAAACCCTGAGGTTTCTCTTACTTTCTTTTAGTATTTATATACGGCATCACAATGGGCCAATAGGCCTAAGTGGATCCACTAGGGATCACCGGTATAACCTAACCTAACCTAACCTAGTAGATATTTATATATTTCAAAAATACATATATCGAATCAAAACACAATTTATTTGTTCACACATAAAACAGCTGTTAATTTTAGAGTGATCTTTCTGCTCTGACAAAATATCTAGAGTGTTATAAATTAATCTCAAGTGTTATACATTAATCTGAAGAGTTATTTATTTACAGATTTACCAAATGAAAATGAAAATTGCACTAAAAGTGAATCTCGTTTAAAAAAGTAACCCCAAATTTACCAATCGAAAACGACATACCTTTCAATATCTCTGGATTACATATTTTTGGCAACAAACTTCTATTGGTTAGCAGTAAAAATACCCAACTAAAAAAATTATTTCATCAACTTTATCTGGGTTATCCGTTACATTTTTTTTTAAACATTCTCCAAGCTTCTTGAAATAGAATATAGCTTCAATAAAAAATTTGTCAAAAATTTGTTCTTTTAGTCACTAATTGAAGACCCAACTAATGAAAGATGTTCTTTACGCTATTACTTTGTTATTTACTTCTTTTTTTTTGAGTTATAAAACTATGGTTTTCTACTTTAATTTATTTTAGAAACTACTTCAAGGAGTAGATCCACCAAGTGGAGATAAGCATAGAAGAAGCTATAAACAGTCTACATATGTAGCTTCCACATTAAGAGCACTTATAATCTGTAACTGGATTATAATTATTGTATATTAGAAGGCAGTATCTTCCTGCTATCAGTAGAATACTATTTTTTCAAATATAGAAATTAATTTAATAATGTCAGAAACTAATGACCCAAAAATTTTTTTTAGTTGCATTACAATAATTCGGGTCAGTAGTGTTGTCAAAAGAAATATAGCCCATCCTCTTGTTATCTTTATCCATAGATTCTACTTTAACGTCTATAAAGTGTTCACATTCAGTGTTTAAGTATTACAAAAATGAGAATATTTCCTTCAAATTTACAATGAGAATATTTCCGTATTGAGGAAAAGAAATGAATGAATATACCAGCACTACATAAATGTTATTGAAAAGAAGGTCTAATGGTTTTGTGGTCTTTCATATGCTTGAAAAATAGTGTATTTTAATAGGAAAAGTTTACTTAAAGACCATTTTTATGCTTTATATACTTTTTAAAAATGTGCAACAGAACTCTTAACTTGATTTCATTAATACATACGAAAAGTTAATACCTCTTAGTTTAAAGCATATCATATATTTCATTCTCATTAACGATCCCTTTTTGGCAATGTGTTTAATGCCAACTTACTTAGACGAATTTAAAAATGTGTGGATATATGTAATATAAGACTTAGATCACCCACTTTTTTTTCTATATCTCAGCCCGAGGCTGTAGACGATTTGGCTCCAATATGCAGGAGACCGTCTTTTTAGTGACTTGACATCTTCTTTGATTCATTTAGAACAGCAACTGATTTTATAAGGATAACTCAAGAAGCTATATTAGAGACTAAAGTTAGTACAATTCGGTTCTTTTTGGAAACTTTAAGGGCATATCAATGGACAATAATTGTCTCCAAGCATAACTGTTGTTTGTATGAATAGCAACCCTTCATCCTAACCCTGCTTGAATAAATATTGAAAATGGTTGTGTGTCCTTTTTAAGTATAAACATCTATTTCTAATTATTAAATTTTAAACAAACATAAAATTTTATTAGCAAGTGAACTAAAAAGACCCCATACATATAATAATTAAGCATCCGCTCCATAAGTAAACAATTTCTTATCACAGTTGCTCCATACGAACCGACAGGCAATAATTATAAAGCTAAATTTGATAAAAATACGCACAGGTGGCCCGGCTTTCGTACGTTTAATCATCTTATCTATGTATTATATATAAAAAAAATATTATATACTATTGTGTTTATATATTTATCACATATATATGTATAGATTCGTAAATAAGAGCAATGGTCATGGTAACAAAAAATCATAGTACAATACTATAGGTACTGAGACACACCTAAATAAAGATTAAAATATTTGAAGTGGAAATAAAATATAGTAAACATTTATTTTTTTATTATTAAAACAGGCGATGTATATTATATCTGAAATCAAACTACAAAACATTGATTTGAAGTTAATTACCATGATAAGTGAATTTGTTTATGTAGCGAAAGTAGTCTCGATCAAGCAATTAAATCTATTTTAATCGTAAACTGAATGCGAAATTTCAACGATCTTTTCTTTAATTAGTTCCATAAATTTGCATTAAAGTTTTTGTACTTTCAATTGAGGCAATTTAGTATTCAATTGCATTTATAAACATCGCGAGAATATATAAAATTCTTCGCATTTGCATACGCACTCTTCCATTTAAAAATCCGACGTCACATGCTCTTTCCAGTATCAAACTTTCTATGACCAATTCGGTCTAATCTTAATGTTTAGAATAGCGTTTAGTAGGTTTGTAATGTTGACCAGAGGCGTAGTTAAAGTTTTTTAAACAGGATTAATCACATTTAAGCATTTGAGATGCATTCACGAATTGTGCGGTGGCTTGATCGTACGCATCAAGTATTTTTTGAATTACTTAAACACTCTTAAAATTTCATTTCTTTTTGCTATTGTGGAATAGATTTCGAATGAAATGAATACTTGAAGAATAGTGTATTCTTGCGAAAGAAACGCAGTAGAAAAAGCAAGTAGCGATCCGCTACTGGGGTTTCCTAACCTCGGTCAGCTTAATTATACGGTGGTTAATAATAGACTCATAATAAGAATTATAGAATTTCATTACATTCGAGAGGAACAACAATAATTTTTTGGCAGTTAGAGTGATAAAAATTGTAAAGATATTTTTTAAATTAAAACGATACATAAAACTAAAATAAATATGGGCATGCCTTTCAATTCTGTTCTACATCATGTATATTTTTTAACTGAAAGTATAATTATATATCTTACATTCCCCTTCCATCCTCTAGTAGATGGTTTTACATTAACTTTATTTCAACTTCTTCACTAAATATATTATTCAACTTCAAAGGAATATAGTTAGTTTGTTGAAGTGGAGGGAGGAACTATTTTTTCTCAATAACCTAAGAAAGCCATTTGAATCCACAATTCCTCGTAATAATGAGTAGAAGAAGGTCGAACTAGAACCAGCCAGCAGCATTTATAAAGGCGAGAGTGTGACCAATGCTAATACTGAAGATATCGCTGAGCGTGTTAAAGAAGGGGCCTCAAAAAAGCTAAGCCTAGTTCTGGCCAAGCAGGGACATAGACACAACAGGTGCTCTGGTGTCCTTTCTTCGAGAGGTGGTAGACATGCATTGCAGGAGATGCTACAGGGTAGGCCAAGTCTAGCTCCATGCTGTCCTATGGTCCACTGCCCTGTAAAGACAGATATTAAGTTAGATATCTCTGAATTATTTCTGTGTGTCAAATCAGAAGTTCTGCATTTGGAATATATTGGCAATATACCTCTTGACCTGACGGACCCGCTTACTATTTTAGTGTTGCAAAAAATGTTAATAAATCGACTTAAACCAATCCGACTGTAGCTGACAACGGCAGGGTTTAAAATAGGGGTATCTGTTAAAGGCGCCTAGTCTAGCATGCTTATTTGCGCGCTCATTTCCTACTATATTAGAATGCCTGGGAACCCAAACTAGGAATATAAAAAATGTTATTACTCTTTCAGGAAATTTAAATTTCAGTACGTCTTTTGCAATTGAGAAAAAAACAACCTATGTTTTAAATAAAATCTATCTAATCTATAGTAGAATTTAAATACTAAAATAGAATAGAATTAAAGTTTGAGTTCAAAAAGTTCAAAGCAGCAACATCATTATTGATTATGGTCATATACCTAAGTAAATTGTGAAACTGTATTGATACATTTATTTAATAATATATTTAGTCATTTTTTTCGTTAGGATTTACCCATATAGGATTTTAACTAATGCATTTCTAATAGGTTTTGTAAGAGTATTGAATAAAAAATAAAATAATTTGCACTTATAATATTTTTTCATCTATTCCATAAGTGTTTTGTTTATTTGTTGAGTTAGCAAAGCATAATATATTCATTTTTAGATTAGATTATGAAAGATTACTTTTATATATTATTACATACATTGCGGAAATTAAATCTCAACACAAAACAATTTTTAGCCTACAGTGCACGTTTCTCACATCATGGCAAGTCAAAAAGGTTCAGCTCGACGCTACACTCCAAGGTTTCCCCTGCTGTTATGCCGGTTGTGCAAAATGAGATGCCCCATTGTGATTTCAAACCACCACAATACACAGGACCGAGCTATGAAAATATCAAGGATCTACGAAAAAATAATCTAACACCTAACTTAGCTGCCTACTACAAGAAACCTTTGCTTATACACTCTGGTCACATGCAATGGTTGTTCGATCACGAAGGACGTCGTTACTTGGATATGTTCGGGGGCATTGTTACGGTGTCAGTTGGTCATTGTCATCCGTAAGTATTTTTAAATAATAAATTTTCATTGTAAGAAAATAACTGATTGTGAAAATTTAGTAAAGTCAACAAAGCGCTAGAAGAACAAATAAACACGCTCTGGCACACTACCAATATTTATATGCATCCTAAGATACATGAATACGCAAAGCGTTTGACTGATAAACTTCCCGGTGATTTGAAATGTGCTTGTTTTGTGAATTCCGGCTCTGAAGCTAATGACCTAGCTATGCTTATAGCACGCATGCACACTGGAAATAATGATATCATCACATTACGTAATTCCTATCATGGTATGTCACCGTATACGATGGGTTTGACTGCCCACTCCACTTGGCGCTTTCCATTAGCTGGTGTTAATAGTGGAATCTTGCATGTCATGCAGCCCGATCCGTATTTAGGCATATGGGGTGGATCAGCTTGCCGCGATTCCCCCGTACAAACTGATCGTAGCTGCGCTTGTAATAAAGAAACTGGATGTGTCGCCACAGATCACTATTACAATGAATTGGAAGAGACATTCAAGTATTCATTGCCACGTGGTAAAGTAGCTGCTATGTTTGCGGAATCAATTCAAGGTGTTGGTGGCACAGTGCAATTCCCGAAGGGTTACATTAAAAAAGCTGCAGAACTGATACGTGCTAATGGCGGTTTATTTGTATCAGATGAAGTTCAAACTGGATTTGGACGTACTGGTGAGCATTTCTGGGGCTTTGAAGGACATGGAATTATACCAGATATTGTAACTATGGCAAAAGGCAAGTTAATATACCATACATATTTATTTTTAAAGTAAAAATTAATAACAAACCGATTTTAACATAAATAACAAAAAGGAATTGGAAATGGCTTCCCCATGGCTGCTGTTGTTACCACACCGAAAATTGCGGAATCACTGAGCAAAGCTTTGCATTTCAATACTTACGGTGGCAACCCAATGGCTAGTGCTGTTGGCATCGCAGTTTTGGATGTTATTAAAGATGAAGGTCTACAACAAAATTCCCTCGATGTTGGCACATACTTCTTGAAAAGTCTGGCCCAACTTAAAGACCAATACGAAATTATTGGTGATGTGCGCGGAAAGGGTTTAATGATTGGTGTTGAATTGGTTGCAGATCGTAAGACTAAAACTCCGCTCAGTGCACCACATGTTATGGAGATATGGGAAACTTGCAAGGATATGGGTGTACTATATGGAAAAGGCGGTTTGCATGGCAATGTAAGTTTTTTTTTAAATTCCTATCATGTAATCTTAAGTTTAGTGCACAGTAGTTTACTTACAGTAGTAGATTAGCATTGTATAATTATCTTAACATTGCATGATATTTTAATTCAATTTCCTTGAAATTACAGGTGTTACGTATTAAGCCCCCCATGTGCATTAATAAATCAGATGTAAAGTTTGGAATAGACGTACTCTCGAGCGCTATCTCGGAATTTTTAAACAAGAAGCGATAAACAAGAGCATGATATGCATGTTTGCATGAATAGATTGATTCCTGTTGGATGTAAAGGCTTGAGACATTTATTTCAAAATTATACTATCTAAAGAATTTCTTATCAAATTTAATTTATTGACTGTGAAGTATTTTTGCTTTTACGAAACTGTGTACAAAATCAGTTGCATTTATTTTTTTAGTGATTATTAACATTTATTTTTGTCCATATATTTTATCCTTTCTATAGAAAATTAAAATGTATTCACATATGTAAAATATTTTGTAATAAATAAAATACTACTTTATTGGTCTTGTTTTAATTCAAGATCAAAAAACTGAAATTAGTGCGATATTAAAAAATAAGTGATATAATAGAGTCATTCGATCTCGTCGATCGCTGACTGATGTATATACTTATTCCAAAATTCTCCAAAAATCTCATTCATTTCTCAAATAATTCTTATTTCTTAATTAGTATTAGATGATCTTAAATAAAATCCTTCTATATGTTAGTTTAGGTATGCATATATTTAGTTAAAGATCATTTCATTCACATTATAGCTGCCACCAACGTAGTGCTATTGAACGAACAAATCCATAAACTAAGGCCTTTAATTTAATCTATCTAGATTATTTCATAATTACATCATGTATATATATATATATGAATGGACTTATTCTGTGCACTTGACAGATTTGTCAAATTCTTTAATAAAATTTTTGATTTTTATAAAGCAGAAAGCTTTTTGGTATTCTGGACACATCTTGACAAATTTTTGTATAGAAAACTGTTCGTAACTGTTCGTAAAAAATGCTTGTAAATAGCATATATTTTAAGTTGTCAAAAGCATTTTTCATGCATTCAAATAATAAAAAATATGCTTGTAAAGAGCGTATATTTTAGTTAAGAATATTTGTCATGCATGCAAATAATAAAAAATGCTTAAAAAGAGCATATTTTTATAGTTGTCAACAGCATTTGTTGTATTGACAACTAACAGGGAAAATAGCTTTTTATTTATGTCACAGAATACCAAAACCTTTACAGCAGTCAATTTTGACAAGTGTCAATGTTTGACAAGTTTATAAAGTTAACAGAATAGGTCTGGAATTATATATAACATATATACATACAGATTTCATACAAAAGCTGCTTGCTAAAAACACTAAAATTGTTCGTTACTTAGTAAAAGCAGTAGTGTGTTGCATGATGCAGTACAATGCAGTATATTCTATGAGCTAGAACTAGCTATTTATTGATAGCAAGTGAAATACTTTTTATGCCTCTTATATTTTTATATACATTAGAGATAAAATTGAATCGATTATAAGCACTTAGAAGTGAGTAAGTGTTGGAAGTATCGATATTGTTGTTAAGGTAGTATGAGAAGAACTGTCAATAGCGTTTGGTCGTTTGTATAAATGAATGACGATTTCGAAACATAGATCCGGCTATTTATAGATTCTGGAAGTATTAAGCATTTCACATAGTTTAAACGCGTATATTGCAGGATATCAGATAGTCGAAACTCGTATACAGCAGAAATTCTAATATATCAAGATTAATTTTACTAAATCTCTAATATATTTTCCTAAGTGCTGATATCGGTATGAAGTATTGTAATCATTGCTTAGAACTATGTACTTCTTCAGCATCACAAACCATAATTTTGTAATGGGGATTGCATCACATTTTTTTAAAAACAATAATGCTAGATTATAGCATTATTTTTATTGCTCTATTAAAGTTAAGGTATATAAAGTAATTTCATTATATTATACATTGAGCAGAAATGTATTAATATATTATAAATGATTTTAATATTGTATCATATTGAAAACGTACGGATTCCATGATAAAAAGCGATAATACCCTTAAGTTTGCACAGATGCAAATTTTAAATAATTTATATAAGAGTAAGAATGATATACGTGCTGTAAGAAAGGGCATCCATGTGAGAGAACGTACTCAAATACAACATTAACAAATTTAATGAACATTTATATTATGTTACTAAAATGCTTTTAGTGTATAATAGTATTTCCTACCACATAAGTTGATTTGTTTTAAGGTTTATATTTTTACTTAATAGGTTTTTTTTTTAATTTTTTAATTTTATTAGTAACATAAAAAACAATAAAAATAATTTTTGTTTATTCTATTTAATCAGAGCTTAGAATAGGTACTTTTTTTGTTCCGGTTTAATAAAAATTAAAAATATATATCGGTCTTGGTCCAGCAAGAATATTGGTTGTTTTCGGTTGTCGATTTACGGTTAAGTTCCGATTCAAAGCTCTGTATTCTATAACCTTAAATTGATTGTTTATTTTTTTCCGTATATAATTTTTTATTATTGTTTGATGATATTACAGTCGATGATTTTCAAGCCACCACTTTGTATCACAACGAAAAACATTGACTTTGTTCTATATACATTAAGTGAAGTATTCAAGCAATATTACAGAAAACCTAAACGTAGTTGGAGAAGTGTGAGTGCTCAGTCTTTTAATTCTACATAAACCAATAATAATTTTGCTATAAGTAACGGACTACATTCCTGATAAGTACAAAAAATATTTTTGTTATTATATTTAATAAATAAAATTTTATTGAGCTAATTTTCATTAATATATCATAAGATCGTATATTGTATGTATTAGAATAAAACTATGTCAATAAACAGATTTATAATAGTAATGTT